GCCTCGTTGTGCCCCATTGTGCCGTATCTCTGTCTGTCTGTCTGTCTGCGTGTCTGTCTCGATGTCTCTGTGTCTCTCTGTGGCATGGCAGCTCCATAGTGCGCGGTCGCTTTGTCTACAACAAATCACTTTGTTGGCGCAACACTTTAATGTCAGGGATTAGGCATTAACGTGAGATTTGCCAGCGTGCGTCCTGCTTTCCTTTATGGCAAGCCATTTGCATTATACCTAAGCAAGGCAGGGCGAGCAGAGAGAGAGGAAGAAAGAGAGAGTGAGGGAGGGAGAGTGAGACAGACAATTATTTGAAGTCTGCTTGAGCTTTGGCTAACCATTCTTAGTGTTTTGTTCGGTCTTCCTATGGCACCTCAGTTGGCATTGGTAATTGTGCTATATTTTTAAAATACACTGTGAGAAATGCGAAAGCTTTAAGCTGTTAATACTAAGAGGAAATTGTGGCAGAGTCTTCAATTAATCTAGGACCTAAGTAAAAGTCTATTCTCTCTATCTCTCCCTCTTTTATTTAATTTATCTGAGAACTATGTGCAAGTATACTCTCTCTATCTCTCTCCTTCTCTCAGTGAACTTATGTAAATCTAAATCTTTCTCATTTTTTAGCTGAAAAATAAAAAATAAAAAAAATGAAATAAATACACAATTTAAATTTAAGCTCAGCTCAATTGAAAACTTTCACAAGAAAAATCTTAGTCAATATTTTCACTCTAAACAAAAGTCGTTGACAATTTCTCTAAGTGAACTCTTATGAATAACGATGTTTGCAAATAGAGCCACAATTTGCTGCATGTGTTTGCTGCATGTCGAGTGCATTTTCCGAAAGTAAATTTACAATTTCTGCTGAATGAAAATATGCGAAAAAAAAAAAACAAAAGAAAATTTCGCATAAAAAATAAAACATTTGCCTCTGCTAAATAAATTGCAAATAAAGTAGATTTTGTTTTGTTTTACAGTTATTGCAAAAATTTGAGCGCAATTTCTGTTATGAATCGGATCAAGCGCCAATGCTTCATGGTCGCCTCAAAAATCTATCGCCTGTTTTTCTGCTGGCTGTGCATATTTCATGTTGCCCTCCACCAAAAGGAAATAAAGAAAATGAAACACATTTTCATTTTGGTATTTGAGCTTGCGATTCGGCGAACTGGAGATCAAAATCTGTGTTTTATTTGCGCTTTCTCTCTCTCTTTCCTTCTGCTCTTTCGCTATTTTGTTGCAAAAATGTTGTGGGCTTGGGGTTGGGGGGGGGGGGGGGGGGGGTGCGTGTGCCGCCCATGAACTGCAAATTGCGCACGCAAATTGTCTGCTTAAACGGCCTATTCTCGACATCAGCTCGACGTCTGTGTCTATTTCGCGCCTGCAAATCGTAAATCAGCGCAGATTATTGTTGCTCCTCCTGCGAGTTGCCCATTTGCATTTGTATCTTGAACGCGTTTTTCAATTTGAGGCAGCTTAAAGCGTCTTGCAGTTGGGTGCGGGTGCTGCTTCTTCATAAATATGCAAATTGTGCCACGCACCCCCTCTGCATGTGGGTGGGTAGCTGCGGTTGCCGGTTGCCGGCTCTACCCTACCCGCGGCTCTACTCCCCTGAGCTTTGTGCTTACCTTGCCAAGCCACACACAGGAGCAGGGGGAAGTGTATAAAAATATTTGATTATATGCTACCTTACGACTGGCTGTACATTTGCTCAACTAGCTGCCTGGCCAGGTCGCCCACGCCGCCCACTTCGCCCACTCTGCTCCAAGTGGGTAAGAGCTAACGATTTTGATTGTTATGTACATATAACTCGATGCTCACGGATTGCAGGAGTTGAAGCAGTGGCGGGTGCGGGTGCGGGAGCAGGAGTCGCAGCCCTCCGCTCTAACCGTAAACAATGTAGCTCAAGTGGGGACTGTTGCTTGGCTTTGTGTTTGTCTCAGACGTTGGGGCAATTGGGCGAGCTTGTGTGCGTGCGCTGTCGTATTACTCATACGCCATGTTGCGGCCGCTTTGGCTGCTCTTTAAGAGGCACTTGGCCAACGCCCGGGCATGTTTAATTGAGTTCATCTAGAAGACAACCGTAATAGGGCAACGACGGAGGGCGGGGGGCATGGGCATGTGCGTGTAAGTGTGCGTTATCTGCCCATCTGCGTTGTTGCCATCTAATTAGACATTGTGACTACCTTAATTGGCTCAAGCGCTTGGACTTTATAACTTTTCGCCTCTGCCACATACAATGCCAAATGAATATTGCTTTATCTGCCATCGAATATCTCCCTCTGCATCACTCTCTCTCTCTCTCTCTCTCTCTCTCTCTCTATCTCTCCCTTTTTCTGGCTCACTCATGCTGTTTGTTGTCTCCTCTGCTGTCATACATAAATAATATGCCCAGAGGATATTCATCGTTTCATTTCATTTGATTTTCATATTTTCGTATTTGTGCTTTTTATCACAAAGCAGCTTTGCATTCTTCATTTGTTTGTGCTGTTTGTGTGCACATGAATTTTATATAGCAGCGCACAAACAATTCCAAAATCAATAAAATTAAATTGAAAATCATAAACTGAACTGAACGGCAGCCAGACTGAGTCGCAACAATAACAACAACAGCAACAACAACTATGAAACTAATTCGCTTCGTTTGTTTCTCTGCTGCAGCAGCTGCATAAAAAGTTTTCGTTTTTATTTTTATTTATTTTTTCAAAAGATTTTTGCTGTGCCCAAACTATGTAGACTGTATCTATGGCTCCGTCTCAGCTAAATCCAACTGGAATTTAATTTTTAGTTTGTGTGCATTCCATGGTGACTTTTAAGTACTCTCCTTTGTGTAGAGAAATTGAGGCAGATAATGTGGTTGGATTTTTCTGAGATGTGGAAATATATTTGTGATGAATTATTGTCGTGAATAATACTAGTTGCCAAATATGATCGATAAATTACTGTTGTCTAGATTATAGATAATAAATCTAAAGATACAAATAATAATATCGATAAGTTTTTGTTAAGTAGGTTATAGATAAAATATCTCTATCAATTTGTTATTTATATAAGCTATCTGATATCTTTTGATAATAGTGTATATTCTTTGGTATTACTTAAAATTTCTTTATAAAACTTTTAGTCAATTGGTTTTACAAAACAGCAAAATGTATAATGTATCGATATGTATCGATAGTTTGATATGTTTCGCTTTGTAGTTTTTTTTTTTGTTGAATGGATGAGGATGCAACTACATTTTTATTTGTAATAACTTTAAGCGGAGAAATAATCAAATAAGTTATCGATTTTTATCGATTATTGCCTAGAATGTCCACAGCAACTGTCCGCTTTGCTTTGAGTTCTTATCTAATAAGCCAAGTGAAGTAATCATGGCCTAGAGAACAATATTGCATTAGCATTGACTTTGTCGTAAGCCAACTTACAGAGTTGGCCAATCCGATTGTTGTAGTTGGCAAGTGGGCATAAAGGTCTCGCTCTGCATAAATGTTTTGTTACAATTCAGCTGCTGCCTAGAATCGAGTTGGCTTCACATTTGTGAATTGACCCTCGTAATTCCCAATTGAATCTTGCTAATTTTATAATTCAATTATCGACAAGTAAAACTTTTCACTGCCTACATATGCGCACAAAATGTTTGTTTTAGTTTTCTCTTGAACCTGTGAAGCTGCCTGTTTCTCTCTCTCTGTGTGTGTGTGTGTGGCATTCATAGTTGCTTAATTAATCAAATTGCGCATTTGATTGCCTGCGGCCTTTTGATTTCTCTAAATAAACTCGTTCATTGCACTTAATATCTTTGGATTCAAATTGAATAATATTATTATTTCGAATGGCGTTGATTAAATCAAATAATAACAGTTTCCATTTGACGTGTTTTACTATTTTCTATTCAAGTGAAATAAGCTGAAATTTTATGATAGATTTTTGGTTTGTAAGCTCTAAAGAGCTTTTGGGATTGATAAATATTGAGGCTAGCATTATTTATATGGAACTCGAATCTGGGATTATCTTTAATTATCTGTCTCCCTCTTTCATTTGCTTAGTATTTTGTATCTTTTGTATTATATTCTGTTTTTATTTTATTTTCTAAACGTTTTCTTTCTCGCTCTGCCGCATATCTTCTGATATATCTCTTCTATTCTCCACTATTCTATTTTTTTATCTTTTAAGTTCTATCTGCCATCGTACATTCTCCATTTTCTATTCCTCATCTTCTATCTTCTATATCTCATAACTTTCTTTCTCTACTATCTAGCATATTCTATATATCTATCATATCATATCTACCCTTTCCTAGAGTATATTTTCTTTTTTTCCTTCGCCCTTCTATATTCGGTTTAAGTTTCTCTCTTTTGCCTCCCTTCTTCTATTTTCTCTCTTCCATACTCGATCTTCTATTTATCTATCTCTATATTTTCCGTCTTCTGTATGTTTCTAGCTGCTTTCAGAACTTTTCTAATAAAACATGCATTCTTTGCTCTGCTCAAAATATTTTGAAATTTACTTACATAAAAGTCAGGTAGAAAAGCAAAGACAAATATGAAAATATAATTTTAAATAAAAAATCACTTGAGAACTTTTCTAATTTACGCATAAACTTTTGCTGCGCGTTTTAATTATGTTTTCCCTTTCATTTTTGTTGTTGTGTTGTTCGTCTGACATTTGTTTTCAATTCTTTCTGAACAATGCAAACGGACAAGGAAAAAAGAAAATTATGTTGCAATTAAGACATACAAAAAACAAAACAAAAACAGCGACAGGATATATAACAGGAGCAGGAGCAGCAGCAGTAGCCGTAGCAGAAGGAACAAGAAGAGGGGGGCGGAGCAGCAGCTCCAAAATGTGCATGAATTAGCGAGATTTACATGAAAATTTCATAAATATGTAAGCGACGTGGACAGGCCCCAAGCGAGGGCGGATGAAGTGTGATAGGGTGTGTGTGTGTGTGGGTGTGTGTGTGTCTGTCTGTGTCTGTGTCACGAATTCAAGGTACGCGCAATCAAAGCAAAAATTACCTAATTAACATAATCCGCAGTGGCCAAATGAGGCGATGTTTGAGCTGCTTCTTCTAGCTGCTGCTGTTGGTACAGCTAAAGGGGGCGTGGCCAGTAGCAGAAGCTGTGTCTGTCGTCTGGTCGCTGTGGCCGTTGATTAGCGTTTTCCTTTGGGGGCCAGCGCAGCGACGTCCCTCGCCTCTAAGCGGCTTTGCACTCGCCGCTTCCAAATCCTCGGTGATAAGTTGTCCTGGTGTCCAGCAGGAAGCTTGAGGCTTGAAGAGCGAAGCTCGAAGCTGAGGCTGTCCACGGGGCGACAGCCACTGATTAATATACAGACGTTTAAATTTCGCTTTGCGCTTTACGCTTTTGTTTTGCTTTTCGGTTTGTTTTGGCTTGCTACAGCGTTCGTTGCTTTTTGTTTGTTTTCTTTGGACTTTAATTTATTTTGTTCCTCGGTTTGTTTTCACAGTTGAAGCACTACAGTTTGATGCAGCTTGCATTTAAATTGAATGTTCTATTTGAACAGAGCAGAGTCATAAATTTCGGTTTGCAGCTATCTAAACTAGAGAAATATTTGTAAGAGAGTTTAAATCAAATTTAATAAAAATAAACTTATTTAAACTTAATAGAAATGTATCAAGGAAACTTTTGCTTTTGAGCTCAAACTTAATATATTTATGCTTTTGTGTCTCTGGCATGCAGGAAAAACTTGTGAACAGATAAAAGAGAAGAAGCAGGAGGAGAAATGAAACTAGCAGCGCACAGAAGTATGCTATATAAATTTATGAATGACTAAACGAAAACATCGCCAGCTGAGTCCTTCAGCTGCTGCTGCCGCACATCCTGTGCGGGCCATAGCAACAAAAGTCACACAGCTTCCTTGACGCCCTGATGTCTGCCAAAAAGTTTGACGTCTGCAGCTGCCTGCCACACGCAACAACAAGCTCGGGCATCATAACAAAGCACACACACACACACATACACAGACACAGACACTCGCACACACACGCATTTAGCATGTGGCCAGCATTTGCTCTGAGTTATATATATTTACGTTTTTCTTTGTTTATTTTTGTTTTTTTTAATTGTATTCTTTGTTGTTGTTTTTTTTTTTTTTTTGACACTCGTAATTGGCTTTAGGCCATTTAAGCGCTGAGCCTCACTTTTGTTAGTCACTTTTTGGAACTGTTCGCAGGCACTGCACGCGTGTCCTTGCCGCTCACGGATACAGCACTAGACTGAGCTTAGCATGCGGCCAGCGCTTGCTTTTAAGCTGGCACGACTCCTGCGAGTCGCTAGTTCGAATTTCGAATATGTTTGTGCGCCTGCGYCAGATGTAGAGAGCGAGAGAGAGAGAGACTTCTGGGCTATCTTACTGAATAGACCTCCCACTCTCTCCCTCTCTCTCTCTCGCTCTCTCGGCGAGTGTGTGTCTCCTTGGCGCTTTCTCTGGCTTGTTTTGTTATTATTATTTTCGCTTATCGCTGCTGTCGCCGTTGTCATCACCTGTTTGCATTTGGGTAGTCCTTGAAGTCGACTGTTTGCAGTCGCACGCATGTGGTGCGCCAGGATTATGTCCTGTCCACACAAACACAAACACAAACACTAACACTAATGCAAACAAACACACAAGCACACACAGAAGCAGTTGCTTAAGTAGCAGCTTTGCGTAGACAATCGGGACAGCTTAGGCCACATCAGCAGAGCACCTGGCCGACTGCCTCATTGACTTTGGCTGTTGTCGCCTGCTGGCCTCTGGCAGACAAACCACATTATGTAATAATGTTTCACTTGTGCCTCGCATTTGTTTGCCATGGCCGGCCAGGGGGCGTGGGTGGGGCTCGCCTGGTCAGTCTCAATGCTGCGTGTTAAACTTCAAATTAATTGCTGCCGAAAAATAGTCCTTATCAATGGTGTGAGCGGACAACTCTGTCTGCTGCAGACCACAAACCCAACAAGCAGCACGTTTGCCACAGCCAGCAGCAGCAGTAGCGGCAGCAGGAGTGGCAGGAGTAGCAGCAACAACTGCAGTAACTGCAGCACATACACTCGAAGAATGAGTTGAACAGAGAGAGCATTTTTGATGGTTAGAATTAGCTTAGTTATTTTTGAAGTTATAGCTTGGTATACCCTATAAAGGATCAGGATGTGTGAGCATGCTGCAGCTTGTCCAAGAGCTAAGGACTATTCGAATGGAATGTTCTTAAATATTGTCAATCATTTATCTCTCAAGATATTCGCCTTTGGGCCTGTCAGAGTCATACTCTGGTCTTTGTTTAAGAGAAAGAATTTAGTAAACAAAAATACCGTAATTTTCACTTTTTATAAAACGCAGATCTGAACTATATATTTATGTCTATTACAAAAAAAAAAAAAAAAAAATGTTTTAATATTTTGGCTTAACTTTTATTTTTTTTTTATATACCATAACATTTTTTATAAAGTCTATTTTGGTTTTTGGAATCAAATATTCATCTCTACATTTTTTTATATTAATAATTCGTATAATTTAGTAAACAAGTTTTCTGCTACATTTGATGAAAATTTGTTCTAATTTTACACAAGCCAAAATACATATCATTTTTGTGTATACACAAAACCAGACAAATTTAGCTGGGCAAATTTATATAGCTATATCGTGTTCCGGAAATAACGACGGTCTCTTGAGCATCGGTGTCATCGGTTTACAATGTTTATCATTTAATAATTTGCTGAATTTTATTAGACAATTTTCAATTTACATATAATTTCAATTGGAAAAAAAAAATCATATAATATTTTAATTTTCTTCTATTCATACCATGAGCTAGCTGTGTTTAGCATTACTTTAGTATTCTCTCAGTGCACGAGAGTTAGACAAGGTCAGGTAGGTTCGAGTGGGTGTGTGTTTGTGTGTATGTGTGTGTGCATAAAAGTCATTAAGTGTGGCCAGCAAGTGCAGGGCGCAAACAAAAGCTAAGCAACAACAACAAAAGCAACGTGAACAACAACATCAAAATTGACGCCGTAACGAGGTTCATGTTTAATGGCCTTGTTGTTCGCCTGGTCTCTGGTCCCTGCTCCCTGGTTCCCGGTTCCTGCTGCCTGCTGGTGACTGGCAACTGGTAACTGGTGACCGGCGACTGGTGCCTGGTGCCGGGTTTGCTGTTTTGCCGGTTCAGCAACAAAGGCAAAGGCAGCCCCGAAAAGGACATGCACTAATATCGTTTCAGTGCCGTTTGTCCTTAGGTCCTGGCGTCCTTTAGGCATGCACGTTGTCACCGTATCTCGCTGTCGCTGTCGCAGCTTGAACCTGACACAGAAAATTGTATTTTAATGATGGGGCACAGCAATGTAGCTGGCGCCCAACCCTACACTCTCACTCTTTCCCTCTCTCTCTCTCTCTTACTCACGCTGTCTGGCGCTGTGCACATTCAAGATGTTAATATAGCGACACACGCTGCAGGTTGCGTTCTCGCTGCTGGCGCACAGCGCAACTGCATAATGAAGTTGTAACTTGTACTTGCAACAGAGGGCCATTTTTTTGGGGGTTTGTTGCCATTTTATGGCGCTGCTGCTGCTGCTTCAGCTTCAGCTTCAGCTGGCAGCAATGGCAGCCACACCTGTAACAGTGCCCGGCTGCTGCATACCTGCAGTTGGCATCCGCCTCAGTTGGCATGCAAATTGTTGTATTGCATTGTTGCACTGTTTAGATCCCGGCTCCCTCACTCTCTCTCGCTCCCGTTCTCCCCCTTTTTTTATCCCTCCCGCTCTCTTATTTCTCTATAGCCCTGCTAGCATCCCTTTGAGCTGCTTCTACTCCACTTGATGTGTAGTGCGCTCTTCACAAGCTTTGCATTTTATACCCTATGCCCCAATGTGGGATAGTGTAGGTATACTGGGTATTTGAGTTATATATTTTTTTTCTACAAATATTAAACCTTAATTGAGTTTAAAAGGTCGGAACGGTTTTCTGTGGGATTTGCTTTATGTGATTAGTGTGAGAGGAAATTTTAGGGACTCTTGGAATTAAAAGAAATATGATTGGATAATGATTATTAATTATAGTTCAAAGATATCCCAGACTTGATATAAAACAATATTTTTCCTGCTGTCGATTATTATTTTCTTTAAATGACTTTTTAAATAAAGTTATAGCTTAAAAAAGAAAAGGAGAAAAAAAGAACAAACAATGTATTTAACACATTAAAATAAATATTTATAAACCAAAACTAAAAAAAAAAGAAAAATGTATTATAATTTTTGGCCTTCCAAATAAACGCTGAAAATATTAGAGCAAAGTCTGCATACAAAACTCTTTAATAATGCAGAGAGTATCTCATAGTTTGCCTCCAACATACGCCACATTTTTCTTTGTTGTAACTGTGTGCGTGTGGCTGTGCCTGTGTGTGTGTGTGTGTGTGTGTGTGTGTGTGTGTGTGTGTGTGTGTGTGTGTGTGTGTGTGTGTGTGTGTGTGTGTGTGGAGTGTATTTGGAGTGCACTTGTTTGTGCATTGCTGCAGTCGTAATTATTGTTAATGGCCATTTGCCAAGCGCTTGTTGTTCTGACTTAAATCAGAACAAATTCATTTGAGGTGGACCCAAGCCACTCAAATAATGATTCACAACTGAAGTGAGTCATTAACAGGGCGCATCCCCATCTATAAGTGGGGCTGTAGTCTCAATTAGCGCCGGCTGTCTTAATGCTCCACGACACTAGACCGGAATAAGTTGATAACTGGGATGTCTGTATCTGTATCTGTATCTGTATCTGTATCTGTATCTGTATCTGTATCTGTATCTGTATCTGTATCTGTATCTGTATCTGTATCTGTATCTGTATCTGTATCTGTATCTGTATCTGTATCTGTATATGTATCTGTGTTCTATCATCTTTCTGTCATAATTCTAGGGTATATCACTCATTCTATATTATACAAAAGATGTATGATTTCATTTAATTAAATTTTGATTTCTTTTGCAGTTGAAGCCGCAGATGAGCCGAACGAGAATGAGAATGAGGACAATGCCAGCGAGGAGGATGTGGAGAACGAGGAGTTTGGCGAGCCAGGCAAGTGTTGAAAAACTGTGTGAATATACGACAAATGTTTTCGCAACTAATGGCATTTGGGTGTTACGTCTGCTGCCCCATGTCCTCTTCCCATTTCTAAAACAGATAATGGACTTACGGAGAAAACGTTCAAATTTGAGGATTTCGCTCGCAGGTAAATTAGCAATGGCCACAAATGTCTCCCAAATTCCATTCAGTCCCAGCCGCAGGCCAATTTCTATTCCCATTCTTTTTTTTGTTTTTTTGTGGCCACATTTTATTGGTGTTATTTGAAAAGTTTCATTGATGGTCGTGCTGAAAATTGTAATTGTAATTTTAATTGAAAGGCAGAAAGCAAGTGGCAACGCACAGCTCGTGGCTACTAATTAAGGATTAGCGTCAGAAATTACTTGTGCCCAAAGTTTTATGAATGCCAAAAACTTGAATGCCGCGCGCACAGCTGCCGAGTGTTGGTGTGCGGTGTGCGGGGAGGGGAGTGGTTGTACTTCTAAATGCCCACAAACAGCAACAACAACAACAACAACAATTATATTATTTAATGGCGCTGCGGCTTGTATTTAAATTGTGCCGTTATTATTGTTGCTTTTGGAAATGTTTTGGAAAGTTTTCGCTGCGGCTAAGCGTTCAAATCATAATTAGCTTAATTTTGCATAATTTAATTGGTGTCTCATCTCATTATGGATTTAATATTTTCTTGCTTAAATCAATCCCCTCCACACACACACACACACACACAAACACACACACACACAGACTGCTGCATCCGAAGATCGTGCGTGCCTGCACTATCGTCCTGACGGACTGGGCCCAGATACCGACGCGAGCGCTCAAGGCGGCTGTCACCATATTGCATCGCATCGCATACGGATGCTCCTGTCCGGGCATGCTCTACCAGGTGAGTGAACCAACTGTTTAAGAACTGCCGCCTGCTGTCTGCCGGCTGCTGCCTGCTGCCTGCTGCTTTTAATTCAGTTTTTGCGCCGAGACGCAGCTCTTGGCACATAAATCAAAGTCAAATGCAAAAAAGCGCTCTGCGGCTCAGCAGGGGACTCTCCAGACTCCACGGTCTGCAGTCTCTAGTCTCGAGTTGGCCGTTGCCCGTTGCCCGTTGCCAGTCTAGCTCGCAGGCGCCCGGTTTTTATTTTCGTCATCTGCTCCGCTCAGTGGCTTC